TGTAGATGGGGGTTACATAATCTAATCTCTTATGTAAAAGATTATTACCGGTATAAAGTAAAATAAATAACTGCCCCAAAGACAAATCTCCACGTCATCTTGGTTGATCAGAAGCTCCAAAACTGGTCATTATTGACATTGTTTAATGTACAATATTTAAAGTGTTATCTATTTCCATTATGATCAGTTTATCAATTTCAGCTTAACACCTATATTGCTTTAGTTTGTTTCTTTTGTTGCTAAATTTTGTTGTCTTGCCACTAATTCCGCCGACTAACAGTGTTTTACATAAATAGTTTTATTTAACCATTTTTAAATTTTAATTATGACACAATATTTTGATTTATATAAACAGTTAGTGATATTAATTAACAAAGGATTATGTGGCAAACTGAATATGGTTTATTCGATTAGAAACACGTTTACAAGAAAAATCAAAATAAATAAATAAATGAACTTCTCCGATATTAAACTAAGTTATGCATAAATTAAAAAAATAATTTAAGAAAAAACGAAATTAAAAGTTTTTTATATATTGAATTAGACATTAAATTAGTTTTAATTTATAGAAACGTGTATTTGAAAAGAATATCCTCTATCCTCATCGGTTGACGCGCCATTGCAATAAAACAATTTCGTATACGAACTTCAAAGAAACTCAATTCTCCACGACAACATTGCAGGTCACGACAGTAATTCGATGGAAAACCTCATTCATTGCATCGCAGCGTTATTGTTCCACGTGATGGGTCCATGAAACCTGAAAGTAATATTTCATATAAACTGGTACCACTCTATCAAATAAAACATATTTTCTTTTAAATTATTTCATTCGTTCCAATTTATATAAAAAAAAAATCTTTAATTAATTTTTTGGCTTAATTTGATTTCTGTTTTAGAAAATATAATATATATGATGTAAGACTTTTCTACAAAAATATATATGAATAAAACAATTTAACTTAAGTTTTTTTTCAAAATTAGGTGACAAATCTAGCTGAATTATTAGAAAAAGAACATGGAAATTATGAACGAATTCAATTCATATATAAGATATTAGATTATCCTATAAATTCAACTTTTTTATTTGCACGTGTTGCAGTAAATTTAAATTTCCAAAAAATTGTATCTAGTTTTATCATACTTTTACAAAATCCAAGTTTCCAGAATACTTATCACAATGAATCATAATTTCTGTGTGTATTTAAGAATTGTTGTATTTCTTCCACTCATTTAAACACATTATCTATCTACATTCTGTATAAGAAGTGAAAAATGGCAGAAACAAAGTTGAGTTGCTTCAAAGACAAGACATGGTCACTCCATGGCATGACAGCTCTAGTTACAGGAGGAACCCGTGGCATAGGGTTTGTTCCATTCTCAAATGTTCTTTAGTTACTTTCTTCTGTTAATCTAATTTCTCTGTTATTCTTGTTATTTTATTTTTGTTCAATTGTGCATTAGGCATGCAATTGCAGAAGAGTTAGCAGAATTTGGCGCAGCTGTGCATGTATGTGCCCGTAAACAACAAGATATTGATCGGTGTTTGGAAGAATGGAATAACAAAGGACTTCGCATAACAGGGTCAGTGTGCGATGTACAATCTCAGGACCAACCTAAAAATTTGATGGAAAATGTTGCATTCATTTTCCAGGGAAAACTCAACATTCTGGTATGATCCTCCTGTTCAGATTAATTTCTTATCAAAAATTTAAGATTTTAACTTAAGTATCTCAAAACTTTGTTGGACAATATATGAGTTATCCGGGTAGATCAATTACAAACTCACTTGTAGTATGGTAAGGAAAGAATACTTCCGTATGTTAAGAGATGATAGAATTCAAATTATTTTTTTGAAATTAAATTAATTAGTAATTAATTTTTTATAATTAAGTTAATTAAATATTTGTAATTAGGTTATTAAATATTATGTAATTATATTTTACATAATTATATACTTGATTTATAATATATATATATATATATATATATATATATATTTGTCTCCAATAAATAACGAAAGACATTCAAACAAACATCGCCCTCTTACAATTTTATACCACTCTGTGTCTGCATATGCACAACATGTATCATGATAATTATTCATTTGAGAAAGTACTGTTAACACATGTTTAAAGGGATGAAAATAATTTATATTAACATCTCTTTCAATTTATTCAAGGCTAGCAGCAGATAATATTTCTAATTATAGAACTTTGGTATAGAAGCATTTGTTGAGTACTGTTAATACATTTTCGGTAAAATAGAACACCATATATACTATATAATTGAATTTTGTAACTGTGTGTATTTTACTGATGAATATTATAGATCATAAATAGCCTTAAGAATTGAGATAGATACAATAATCCTAATGGTTTAAGAGTATAAAGTTAGTAATAATAACACAATCAAATCATAATAATGACAAAATTAATTAGAGTTTATTGCGAGAGTAATTAAAAACGGTAACATGGTAATCATGTTATCTTTTACCTTGACTGACCTCTCTAATGTTTTTTCTAACTTGTTTTTCATTATGGCCGACCTCTTCTTCACCTTGACCAACATGGCTAATCTCTTCTTTGCTATGACCGACTTGTTCTTAGCACTGCCTGACTCTTCAGTAACCTCGACTAACTCGATTTTGACCTTAGCCGACCTCTCAATGAACTTGGTTGACCTCTCAATCACCTTGCTTGATCTCTCAACCATCTTCTCTCAGTCATCTTTATTGCTTCCAAAATTTGACTTGCCAGTGGTGACTTCGTTATGATGATGGATCTCCTTGCTAACATTGGCAAACTCTTCTCTATGTTAACTCCCTCCACATATGGTTCTCCATGCTGGGATTCTTCACCCTTTCTTGAAGCATTCGATTGAACTTCCCCAAACATCGTATCTCCTCATCCTTTTCTTTGAGTTTCTTCTCCACAGCTTCTTATATAATTTTCGCCATGATTTTTTATTACCTCACTTGCTGCTTCTCGAACTCCAATATTTTAACGTGCTTCATCCTTGTCATTTCGATCTCAAATTTGTCACTCTCCTTATCACGACCTCTAACATCTTTGTGGATCTATGTGTCATAATAGCCAGATTGTGCTTGCATTTTGTCGAGCTAGTCACGTTCTCCACCAAACTGTGTAGTTGATTGAACTAGGAAAATCGAGCTCTCTAATTTCTCATCTGAGCTTCCTTCTGGTTTCCCAGGCTAGTTGCGCTATCCATTTGCTCTTCGTTCGAGCTCTCTACCACGACCTATTCTTCTTTTGAGCTTTCCATCGATTTATCACCATACTTGACCGAGTTTCCTACTCGCTCTACCAAAGTTGATGCTCTTCGCCAGGCTCACTGTCGAGCTCTTTGCACACTTTGTCGAGTTCTTCACCTCCACCGAGTTCTCTACCAGAACTTTTGAGCTCTCCATGGCCACTTCTAGGCTCTCTACACATGAAATCGAGCTCTCCACGAACATTGTCGGGCTCTCCATGTACCTTGTCGAGCTCACTACACTACTTAGCATTGTCGAGTTCTCCTTGCTGGCCTACACGCTTGATCTCCACGCCAGCGTAGAACCCGAACATAGCTCGACTTCTAGACTACAACTCGTCTGCTTGACACCTAACCTCTAATTCGATAGCTTAAAATTCGAGCTCTTTGCCATCAACAAAATTCCTAAATCTCTTCCTTTGCTTCTTCAATAAGGAGATTTGTCCCACATTTTGTCTTAGCTCAACAATACTTCGCAACATGGCCGACCTTCACACCTCTATAACATTTTCTCGATCTGAACTCATTTGCCTAGTGGTCATGCTTACCACATTTAAAACATTCCACTCCCGATCAACCTCCTTGGCCTTTTCCTTGTCCTCGACCATGCCAATTCTACTGAATGATTTCTTCTTTGTTATCATCCTCAAAATCACCTTTGTCACGTCCTCCAAGACCTCGACCTTAAGTGTTCCGAGTTACCCCTTCAAGTCAAGTTGTGCTTGAAGTGCTTAATTAAGTTGTTGATAATTCTTACTTCTTCGTTGTTCATGGGCCTTAAGTGACCTAAGAGGACAAGCAAGACTCCTCGATGACACACACAATGTTCTGGAAATCATCTGTCAATGATCTTAAGATTTTCTCCATAACCTGGCTGGTTGACATTGGTTCTCCATTCCTACCAAGTTATCACCGCTATGTAGAATAAGTACAAAGCTGATTTGCTTTTACTCGTGTTATTTTCAAAGTAGCAATATGGGCCACCATTTGCTTTTGATCCTCCATGGGTTCTTGGTATCCATTGTCTACTACATCTCATACGTCTTGGGATCCTAAAAGAGTCTTCATCTGCAAACTCCAATTATCATAATTAGCTTTTCTTAACAATTGTGGCAGAGGCATACCATTCACAATATTCTCCATCTCACTCACCTTTATTTCTCACAAGCACTCAAACACATTGTTTCTCTCTCTCTCTTCTTTTTTCTCTCACACTCAAACACTCAGTGCATAAAGCTTTGATGCCAATTATTAAAATAGAAGACGACACACACATTATATAATTGAACTTTGTTGTTATGTGTATTTCTTTGATATTAATTGAAATTTATAATTCTATGTATTTCTTTGATGAATATCATAGGCCTTAAATAGTTGTAGGAATAGAAATAAATACAATAACCCTAATAGTTTAAGAGCATAAAATCAATAATAATAACATAATCAAATTAGAGCAGAATATGACAATAATTAAAAATGATAATATGTACCAAATAAAGTATGACTTAAATTACATTTCTAATAAATCCCTTATTTTATCTAACATATAATAGATGAAAATAATTTGTATGAAGATTTATTTCAATTTATTCATTGCTCTACTGTCAGTCTTGTAAATTTTATAATATATGCTACCTCAATTCTCTTTTTCTTTTTTTTGGTTTCAATTTCCCCTAGCTAGAATTACACGGTAAATGGTTTTCTGTAGATAAACAATGCTGGAATAACTACACCTAAGAACCTTGTAGATTATAATGGGAACTAATTTTGAGTCTAGTTTCCACCTATGTCAACTAGCACATCCACTTCTCAAGGCATCTGGATATGGGAGCATAGTATTCATATCTTCCATTGGAGGTCTTAAAGCTTTCCCTTTATGTTCTGTCTATGCTTCCTCTAAAGGTATTTTTTCCCTATCTTTGAGTCCTTTTAATTTAAAAGCAAATTGGAGTTTCAGAGGATAATCAATATCTGCATATAAACATAATTCAGGAGCTATGAATCAATTCACCAAGAACGTGGCATTGGAATGGGCAAAGGATAATATTCGTGCAAATTCTGTAGCACCTGGACTTGTTAAGACTGCACTTACGGATGCTATAGCAGTATGTATGCTGTGTTATATTAAGCTTATACATTCCTGAAAATTGGTGCAAAGTGTGTATTAGTTTTATCAATCGGTAAAATTGAGTTATTATTTTCGGTGAAATTTCTCTTAACACACATTTTTCTGTGTAACTCATTCCAAAAAACCTATTAATGATTGATATAAACTTAATAAATATTCTTTATTTATATTAATAAATACTGTATACTTTTCCATCTTATAGCAACCTTGCCCAATATCACTGTACATTGGTATTGTTACAGGAATCTGTTGATGAAGGGAGTAAAATGTTTGAAACTATGATATCTCAAACACCAGCTGGTCGTATTGGAGAACCTAAGGACATATCANGTTTCTTCCATTAAGAGTTAGATTATTCATTTTCTTTATGTTGGTTATGTTGCCTTTTACCTTGACTGACCTCTATAATGTTTTTTCTGACTTGTTTTTCATTATAGCCGACCTCTTCTTCACCTTGACCAACATGGCTAATCTCTTTTTTGCTATGACCGACTTGTTCTTAGCACGGCCTGACTCCTCAGTAACCTCCACCAAATCAATTTTGACCTTAGCCGACCTCTCAATGAACTTGGTTGACCTCTCAATCACCTTGCCTGATCTCTCAACCATCTTCTCTAAGTCATCTTTATTGCTTCCAAAATTTGACTTGTCAGTGGTGACTTCGTTATGATGGTGGATCTCCTTGCTAACATTGGCAAACTCTTCTCTATGCCAACTCCCTCCACATATGGTTCTCTATGCTAGGATTCTTCACCCTTTCTTGAAGCATTCGATTGAACTTCCCCAAACATCGTATCTCCTCATCCTTTTCTTTGAGTTTCTTCTCCACAGCTTCTTATATAATTTTCCCCATGATTTTTTATTATCTCACTTGCTGCTTCTCGAACTCCAATATTTTATCGTGCTTCATCCTTGTCATTTCGATCTCCAAATTTGCCACTCTCCTTATCACGAACATCTTTGCCGATCTATGTGTCATAACAGCCAGATTGTGCTTGCATTTTGTCGAGCTACTCATGTTCTCCACCAAACTGTGTAGTTGATTGAACTAGGAACCGAGCTCTCTAATTTCTCATCCGAGCTTCCTTCTGGTTTCCCGGCTAGCTGCGCTATCCATTTGCTCGTCGTTCGAGCTCTCTACCACGACCTATTCTTCTTTTCAGCTTTCCATCGAGTTATCACCATACTTGACCGAGTTTCCTACTCGCTCTACCAAAGCTGATGCCTTCGCCAGGCTCACTGTCGAGCTCTTTGCACACTTTGTCAAGTTCTTCACCTCCACCGAGTTCTCTACCATAACTTTTGAGCTCTCCATGGCCACTTCTAGGCTCTCCACACATGAAATCGAGCTCTCCACGAACATTGTCGGGCTCTCCATGTACCTTTTCGAGCTCACTACACTACTCAGCATTGTCGAGTTCTCCTTACTGGCCTACACGCTTTCTCCACGCCAGCGTAGAACCCGAACATAGCTCGACTTCTAGACTACAACTCCTCTGCTCGACACCTACCCTCTAATTCGATAGCTCAAAATTCGAGCTCTTTGCCATCAACAAAATTCCTAGATCTCTTCCTTTGCTTCTTTAGTAAGGAGATTTGTCCCACATTTTGTCTTAGCTCAACAATACTTCGCAACGTGGCCGACCTTCACACCTCTATAACATTTTCTCGATCTGCACTCATTTTCCTAATGGTCGCTTACCACATTTAAAACATTCGACTCCCGATCAATCTCCTTGGCCTTTTTCTTGTCCTCGACCACGCCAATTCTACTGAACGATTTCTTCTTTGTTATCATCCTCAAAATCACCTCTGTCACGTCCTCCAAGACCTCGACCTTAAGTGTTCCGAGTTACCCCTTCAAACTCCAATTATCATAATTAGCTTTTCTTAACAATTGTGGCAGAGACATACCATTCACAATATTCTCCATCTCACTCACCTTTATTTCTCACAAGCACTCAAGCACATTGTTTCTCTCTCTCTCTCTTCTTTTTTCTCTCACACTCAAACACTCAGTGCATAAAGCTTTGATGTCAATTATTAAAATAGAAGACGACACACACATTATATAATTGAACTTTGTTGTTATGTGTATTTCTTTGATATTAATTGAAATTTATAATTCTATGTATTTCTTTGATGAATATCATAGGCCTTAAATAGTTGTAGGAATAGAAATAAATACAATAACCCTAATAGTTTAAGAGCATAAAATCAATAATAATAACATAATCAAATTAGAGCAGAATATGACAATAATTAAAAATGATAATATGTACCAAATAAAGTATGACTTAAATTACATTTCTAATAAATCCCTTATTTTATCTAACATATAATAGATGAAAATAATTTGTATGAAGATTTATTTCAATTTATTCATTGCTCTACTGTCAGTCTCGTAAATTTCATAATATATGCTACCTCAATTCTCTTTTTCTTTTTTTGGTTTCAATTTCCCCTAGCTAGAATTACAGGGTAAATGGTTTTCTGTAGATAAACAATGCTGGAATATCAACACCTAAGAACCTTGTAGATTATAGTGGAGAAGATGTAAGTAGAATAATGGGAACTAATTTTGAGTCTAGTTTCCACCTATGTCAACTATCACATCCACTTCTCAAGGCATCTGGATATGGGAGCATAGTATTCATATCTTCCATTGGAGGTCTTAAAGCTTTCCCTTTATGTTCTGTCTATGCTTCCTCTAAAGGTATTTTTTCCCTATCTTTGAGTCCTTTTAATTTAAAAGCAAATTGGAGTTTCAGAGGATAATCAATATCTGTATATAAACATAATTCAGGAGCTATGAATCAATTCACCAAGAACGTGGCATTGGAATGGGCAAAGGATAATATTCGTGCAAATTCTGTAGCACCTGGACTTGTTAAGACTGCACTTACGGATGCTATAGCAGTATGTATGCTGTGTTATATTAAGCTTATACATTCCTGAAAATTGGTGCAAAGTGTGTATTAGTTTTATCAATCGGTAAAATTGAGTTATTATTTTCGGTGAAATTTCTCTTAACACACATTTTTCTGTGTAACTCATTCCAAAAAACCTATTAATGATTGATATAAACTTAATAAATATTCTTTATTTATATTAATAAATACTGTATACTTTTCCATCTTATAGCAACCTTGCCCAATATCACTGTACATTGGTATTGTTACAGGAATCTGTTGATGAAGGGAGTAAAATGTTTGAAACTATGATATCTCAAACACCAGCTGGTCGTATTGGAGAACCTAAGGACATATCATCAATAGTTGCTTTCCTTTGCCTTCCAGCTGCTTCATACATCACTGGACAAATTATAACTGTAGATGGGGGTTACATAATCTAATCTGTTATGTAAAAGATTATTACCGGTATAAAGTAAAATAAATAACTGGTTTATAAACTTCCTGTTATGTTGTCTGGTGTGCATGCAAATTAAAGGTAAAAGGGAAGATATTCAAGAAAGTTGAAAATTTATTAGTTAAGATGTTTATGCAGAATGTTATGGCTCAAAGCTATATTGATGTATAAAAAATCTATCTCTATATATCGGTAACTGTCTTTAACAGTAATTAAATTTATTTTATTTTATTTTATAAAAGCTATCTTTGCTTTGGGTTCTCCACTGAGTTTTCATATTTTTTTTCTTAGTATAGATTGAATCATCCGTTGGGTTATGTTTAGATATATGCATTGGTCGAATTGATTATCTATGCAGGAATTCTATCATGCTTATAGCAACCAAGACTTCAATGAATTCTCAGATGTGGATGGCCTTTATAGTGAAGGGTTGCTCATAAAGTTGGGGTTGCAAGATGACATCTTGAAAAAAATCCCTTTTGTCAGCAAGATCAAAGAGTCCAGCCAGGGACTTCTTAAATATGACACCCCTAAGATTATTTCCAGTAAGTAAATACAATTCTGTGTGCTGATTTCTATGGTGCATCTTTTATCAATATTCTTTTGTGCATGTTTAGTTTTTGAAAGCTTTCTGAGTATAGTTCTGAAACATCATGTGATAAGTAATTCCAAGCACAAATCTTTGGTGAGGTTCGATGAGAATATAGCAATGAGAAAGAATACGGTAAACATCAGTAACAAGTGGACCACCAGAACATGCCATTTGGCTTTTAATGTTTGTTAGTTGATTTTTCAACAAAGAAAAAGTTTCTGAGTTCAATTCAAACTTGGATAGGTTGTTTGTTATCCGTGTGCGCTCTAAAGGCAACTAGTTAATTGTTATAATTATTATACCATATGATAGGCAAACCTGCATCAAATTGTTAATTTGAATGTTTCACATGTCTAATGTGCAGAGGACAAATTTGCATGGTTGCCCCCCTCTACGGCCTCGATTCACCATCAACCGAGGCCAAAAGTTTGGCGAAAAAACCCCTCTACTACCTCAGTTGCATTTAAACCGAGGCAAAAACATACACCTTTTTGCCTCAGTTCAGAACCAAGACAAAAAGTGATAGACTTTTTGTCTCTCCTGTATATACCTCGGTCGCAGAACCGATGCGGATAGGCAAAAATAATCGTTGTCATTTTCATTTACTACACTAGTATATCTTGGCCATTCCATGTAAATTTCAAGTTTGTTTGTTCCCAATGGTTCGACACTCTCAAAAACCTGTAATAGGATATGTGTGTGTGTGTGTGTGTGTTATATAACATATATGAAAGTAGAGCTGTCAAAATGGATAACCTGGCTCACCACGGATTGATCAGTTAGCGAGTCAACCCAACCCAGCTCACTTATTAGTGAGCTGAAAATATTCAAACCTGGCTCAACCTACCACGGGTTGGTGGGTTAAACGGGTTGGCTCACTAGCTCATTTAATTACAAGTTTTTTTTAAATAAAAAAGTTATAATTATTTAATTCAAATCTAAATAAACGTCACACTAAAATGATGTTAAACTTCAAAGACAATTCAAAATAAAAAAAAAGTATCATACAATCCAAGCGTTAATCCAAAAACATGCACAAAAGGCGAATAAATAAGTTTTTACTATTGATAATTTTTGTATCACTTGTCCATTTATAATATTAGAGTCTTGAATAGATAAATATATAATATTTTTCTCTCTTGAAACATCTTCTTCTTTATCACCATCAACAATATAATAAAAAAAATGCTAAATAATAATATTGAAACTCAAAATAATAAATAATTAAATTAAATTAAGTGGGTTGGTGAGCCAACCCGGCTCACCACGGGTTCTACCCGGTGAGCCGGGTTGTAAGTGAGTCGGGTTGAAAAGTAGCCCACATAAAAAAATTACATTTTTTTCAAACCCAACCCGACTCAAATCTGCGGTGAGTAGGGTTAGCTCGCGGGTTACAACCTATTTTGACAACACTATATGAAAGTTAAACATCAATAGTTAAAGAAATTCGTACATCTTTTTATGAATAAAAAATCTTAGCACGAGCTATGATCCTCATCCAATGCATAATGTAGTATCCACACTCAAAGTTTCAACATTGGTTATTGCACTAATATATGAAGAACTAACAAAATTTAGTTGATAAATGCAAACTACATACCATAGGATAAATCCATTCAAGATGAGATGAAGATGCAATGGATTTACCATCTAAGACATTGGTGACATTAATAGCATTAAAAAGAAAATTTATTAGTCATTTATAACATAATCATGATAAAACACATTACTTTTGTAATTAACTCGTACCTCTGTATTAAAATTTCAATTCTTTGATTGACTTCTATGCAATGAATAAAACCACACAATAATATGGTCTATGGGACACTCTTTCTCCTTTAGAAGAGTATCATTCAATAGGTTCCAAAATTCTTGGGGAATCATGTATATACATTGGAGTGCTTAGCCATTGTGTGGACACTCAAACAATGAACTCTTAAGTGAGGGTTTGATACTTAAGTGAGGAAAAGACAAATTCAATTATGTTTTATGAATTTATCTTATTCAGGCATTGTAATATTATTTAAGTGAAGAAGTTTATTCTCAATTGAGAGAAATGATGTCACCTAAGGAAGAAAATCTCTCTTAATCAACGAGGGAATGTAAAGTTGATATATTATTGTGTAATTGATTATATGTGTAGAGATATATGATCAATGTAAAATATTCATAATGTTGTATATGATGATAATGATAAATGTGAAATCATTGTTTTGGTATTTATATTAAAGCTTCCATGTGTTTCCTAAATCTATTCTTTCCAACAAAGATGGGTATTCATGAATGCCTTGTGGAAACACTTAAGGCTTAATGAATTACTTTAGCATTGAGGTTTTCTAATAATCCATAATCAGATGGACAAACTAAGAACCTTAGTAAGACCATTGAGATGTATTTGTGATACTTTGCCTTTAATAATCCTAAAAACTAGGTTTATATATTACCAAGGACTCAACTATGGTACTATACTTCCTTTCATGATAGTTTAGGAATGACTACCTTCCAAGCAGTATTTGACTTAGCTCTTCCATCTATTATTTGTTATGAGTCTCAAACACCAGACCTTATCTCTTTACGAGAACAACTATAATCTAAGGATCAATTTTTTACTCAGCTAAGACAATATTTGCTAAAATCTCAAAATTACATGAAACAACTTGATGATAAAAAATAAGAATAAAGGCATGAGGTGCAACTGTGAGTAGATTACTTCACATTAGTTAAGTTGTAGTCATATTAATAGCATTTTGTAATATTAAGAAAGCATGCTAAGCTTGGGTTAAGGTTCTTTCGACCCTTTGAAGTGGCGTAGAAAATTGGCTCAATAGCCTACAAACTCCAACTTTCTGACTCAACATAAATACACCTTATGCTTCATATTTCATTGCTTAAGAAACTTGGTTACAATACTTCTTAGCATTTCTTGCCTTTTCCATTAACTTTCACAAAGTTTGGACCAATAATTTAACTTATAGTGGTGTTTGACGCTCGTATGATACAAAGAGCTAATAGTTTCTTCCTAAAATAATAGTTTAATATGGGATGACACAGATTCTTCAAATGCTACTTGGAAGAATTTTTTTAATATACAAAGTTCTTATCATTTATTCAACCTTGAGGAAAAGGTTATTCTTGATGAGGAGGATAATCTAACATGTATAAGGAAGGAATGATTGGTGCAAACATTAATTTTCATATCAAGACATGTGGTAATTTATCTAGAAAGGGTTCTGTAATTTTTTGGTCCCTTAATTTTTAGTGAAAATTGAAATTAGTTTTTTTTTAAAACTTTGGGTCCAATTTAGTCCCCAAACTTTATAAATGAGTGAATTTAGTCCTTTTAACCAAATTTTGTTAAGTTTATTTGACATTTCAAATGCGTTTTTCGACTAATATTAAAGCAAAAATGTGTCAAATGAATGCTATCATGAAACACGTTTGAAATGTCAAATAAACTAAACAAAATTTTGTTAAAACAATTAAATCCATGAATTTCTAAAGTGAAAGCACTAAAGAAGACTAAAGTTTCGAAGAGGGGTTAATTTCAATTTTCACTAAAAGTTAAAGGACCAAAACTATATTTAATCCATCTAGAAAAGGTATAGATCAAACAAGTGAAAATAACCATAATGATAAGTGGAAGAATTTTGAGCTTAACAGAAGATGAAAAAACACTACCAATCTTTCTCTTATAATTTGTTTAATTAGTTTTGGTCCCTAGATTTAGGCATTTGGTTTGTTATGGTTCCTACATTTTAGTCCTTATTTTTTTAAAACTGACTCAATTGAGTCATTACTTTCGTAAAAAACAATTAGTGTAGCATTTTTCGTTAAATTGACCTTGACGTCATACGAAGGTGTCACGTGTTAAAGTATGATTTTTTTTCATGTGTCAAAATCAAGATCATGTTCTACTTGAAACTGCCACATATCAAAATCATAAGGGTTCTAAGGTAGAAGATAACTCAAATTTTGACATGTTACAAACCTAGATTTTGACATGTGACAATTTCAAACCGTGTTATGCCAATTTAACAAAATGAGTCATATTTAGTCTTTTTACAAAAAAAAAGAACTCAATTGAGTCAAAAACAAATATATGAACCAAAATGAATTAAAAGCTTAAATATAGAGACCAAATTACTAATTATAATTCCTTATCCTTCTTAGGCTCTTCGTTTTGAAGGCTTGAGCTTTAGGGTTGCAATTTATTCGACCTTAGAGCTAGAAGTCTGATGAAATAAAATAGACTTAATTACTTGTTTGATCTCCACTATGGTTGAAAGGTTTCAAGTTGGTCTTTACTCTCATTTTTGTTTAATTATGTCCAAATTTTTTAAAAAGTGCATGAGTTAGGTCCTTCTAAAAAAAATTTCTAATGGCATTAATGACATGCCACGTGTCAATCGGTGGTTTCTTTAATTTTTAATTTTTGC